CATCTTTCTGCCAATCTCTTGATAGTTCTCATCATATTCCTCAAAGAAGAAAAATATCTCTTCTTCCTTCTTTTCACTCTCCTCTTCTTCCTTTGAACCTGAACTTGCCCCAATCTCATGAGCAGCCATTGCCGCTGTATTAACCCTGGCATACCAATCGTTTGGTTCATCTTCTTCCTCTTTCTCAAGAATTGATTCATAAATGTATGCACTTGAGATTTTTCTCCAACTGTCTCTCTCTTCGGGCCACAGATTTCACTTGTAAGAGCATGGTGCCTCATAATCTTTATCATCTTTTTCATTAAGGAAATTATCAACATAGGCAAATTCTTCAATTGTTCCATTCACATATCGTTCTTCTTCTTCTCGCCACTCAATCCGGCTTAGGCCATCCGCTCTGTTCTTCTCAGTGGGGATCTTTTCCAGCTTAAGATCATATGCCCAGATGAAGGCGATCCATCTGCTGACCGTTGGATCTACCTGTTGGTGCTTTTTAATGGCACCTATTACGGCAGATGCATCAGTCCTCAGGATGAATCTCCTTCCCAAGACGTAGTGCCTGAATCACCTGAGGCTATGGATGATTGATAGTAGCTCTTTCCTGAATTGGGTGTAGCCTCTTTCAGTAGAATTGATGGTCCTGCTTTCAAATCTTAAGGGTCTTTCTCTCTCATTTTCATCTTTCTGTATAAGCACTCCACCCAGAGCCACTGGTCCTCCATCAGCCTCAATGATGAAAGCTTTTGTCTCCTCCTCATCATAATATGACACTCCCAGCACTACACCATCGTCTCTTAGTTTTTCTTTCAACGTTTTTGCTGGAGTCTGTCTTTTATGATTCCATGCTAAGTTAGCCCCTTATCTTACCATTTTTCTCGGAGGCTCTGCAAGGGCAGCAAAATGAGGAATAAATATCCTCCAGAATCCACAGACTCCCAAGAAGCTCCTGACGTTTGTTACTCTCTTGAGAGGCAGCGACCAGTTCAAGATCTTGTCTATCTTCTTGGGATTTGGGCTCCTACCCTTGGAGAACCATCTGAAGCCCAAGATTATCATTTCTGGTCGGAAGAGAAGAGACTTTGACCCACTGGCAATCAGATTATACTTTCGAAGTCTTTCTAGGACCATCTTTACTCCTTCAGCATGTTCCCAGACAAACTTTCTGACTCCCCCTGCGACCAAAGTCTCATCTCTTACCAAGGGTCTTTTTACAGGATTATCATCAATATAGGGAATGATTATTTTAGGAGAGATGTCTTGCATGACCTTGATCATATCTCTTTGAACCACCGCCACTCCGTTAGTCCATCCCTGAGGTACCACACACATCTGAACAAGCCCCCTTGGCGTGTGCATGACAGTCATCGGTCGGCTAGTGGGATCAATAGGGAACTGATCATAGCCAGAATACAGGTCAACTAGGGAATAAATACATCGACCAGCAAAGGATTCAGCGAGGAGATCAGCATCAGGAAGACTACATGCATCACGTACCGTCACATAATTGAGCTTCTGAAGATTCTGTATCCATCTTAACCCGCCCCCTCGTTTCCAAAAACAAAACCAGTGGTTAGCATATGGTCCATCAGCAGGTTCAGCAACATTGGATGCAATTTTCTTGCCAAGGTACTTTACTACTTCCGCTTCCTCCTTTAGGGCATACTTAGTTGGTCTAGCATTCCATGGAACATGATCAAATGTCCAAATCTTGGTCATCTTGATCATGTCCACATCTAACCGTCCTCTCTCTTCATCATTGAAGGAGAAAGCACCTTAGAATTTCTGACACATCCTGAAGATATATTCTTTCTCTTTAGGCAGGATAAACTGATCCGAGCCTATCTTCATTGTGTCAAACCTAAACTCATCCGAGCCTATCTTCATTGTGTCAAACCTTTCTCTGGTGACCCTGTTGTCCAGTTTTGCTGATTCCCCCAATGCTCTTATGATTTGTCTCTCATTTTCCAATGCTTCATCATAATCCTTTTCTATTAAGACCGTCACTGGGTTTTTTTTTACCCCATTTAGTTTGTATTTTATTTTCGACCAAGTGACTATTTTCCTAAAAAAAGGTGAGTCGATGCAAATCTCAATTTCATCTTCCCTTCCTTAGCAATTTCCACAGCTTTCTTGAAGGCTTCAATTTGCCCGTCTTCATCCTCGAGTTTACCAAGGGCTCTCATTATCTTCGAAACTTGATTGATTCTCACTTAAATCTCTTCTTTTGCTTCTCGTTTCCCTTCCTCCTTTAGTCTCCTAACCCTTTCAGCAGATTCCTCCCTCCTGATTGAGTTAGCAGATAGTTGATGCTTGAAATCATTTTTCGTACAGACCAAAAAGATCTGTTTTTAGCAGTCTCAGGATCCTGTAGACTGATCTAGGATGACCCCTCATGACTGAAAAATTGGACCGCCTCCATCCTATGCAAGAATGGAGTTCCCAAGATACAGTCATGATCCAGATTAGGTACTACAAAACCCAGTAACTCTACAGTCATTGTCTCAACCTTGATAGGCAAATTATCAATAAACCCTGCCACGAACAGCTCTCCTGCAATATTACTTAGTACATTTTGTGCAGGTCTGTCAATTAATAAATTACACGCTTCCATCGTTCTTCGTGAAAGAAATATCATCTCTGCCCCAGAATCTACTAAGGCTAGAATCTTCACTTGGTTAATGTGAATTGTAAGATGCCTACAACCCATGGTTGCAAATCTCATCTTGCAACCTGGTATTGATTTATTCACTTGATTGGAAAAGACTGACCCCAAATAATTAATTTTCATCTTCTTCTTCTCAATTAACATTTTCAACTCTTCTCTCAATTTGGGTGCTAGTGTCATTGCTTCCTTGAAAGACAGTGTTACTTCCATTTCTGCCAGCATCTTAGCAATTACATCAGAAATCATTGTCCCGTCATCCAAATCACTCTTGAGAATAAATTTTATCTTTCTCCCGTGTTCATTCTTTTCCTGTGAACGCCCCGGTTCAGGATCATCAAGGATGTCGATAAGTGATTCCTCAGCCTTCTTTCTTTTCTTTTCTTCTATCATTTGAGGTGTCATACGAGTTTGGTAGTTTCTTACTTTACCGACCCTGACACTAGGTCTTATGACAAGTTCTGGGGGTAGATCACCATGGAATGACGTCATGTTAGCCAGGAGATGAGTCGTTTCATTGGAAGAGGACTCTACTAATCTAGAGGGATTCTTAAAAGTAGGGTTCCCTCTCAATGGAGACTTACTTGTTGATGTCTCACTAGACTCACACTCTGTCAATGTTAAGGACTGTAGGGACAGTTCAATCATGGTATAAGGGTCGTCTCCTCTTTGTACCGGTTCATTAGGCAAGTCTTCAGTGAGGAAATGAACATTCACATTGGTCTTTCTCTTATTTTTAATCTTCATCTTTTCGTCATGTTTAAGGGCAAGAAGTCTCATACCTCCCGGATGTCGGGGGTCCTACTTATTCCAAGAGCTATCACAGACATGACCCATTGCGTCTTTCTTTGTCACCCCACTTCTTACATCCTCCTCAAATGGCTTGCAGTAGGTGGTAGTATGCTCATTTTCTCCACAATAGTAGCAAGTAAAACTCCTCTTAGGACGCTCATCATATTTTCTTCTCTCTTTGTTTCCTCCATCACCATTCTTCCCATTCCTTTTGGTTCTGGACGAATCCCCCTTCTTACCATGATTTTCGTTGTCATCATCATCGTCGTCATCTTCCTCACTTTCAGCCTTTTTGTTTCCCCTATCATCCACAGCATGCGTTGCAGGCATAAAGTTAGCCATCACCTTTTGAAGAATATTCTCAGTAGTCAAATTGCTTCCTCTATTCATTTCATTCTCAATCTCCCAGTCATTGGCCAAAGTACTGATCTGATCCAGTGACCATTTCTTATGGGAGACAGTAGGTAGAGTTCTTATGATTGCAACCATTTCATCCCGTCTTAGAGGATAGCGTTGAGCTTGATTAAGGACTGCTTGTCTTTCAGTGTCAGTAAAGTTTGTCAAAAATATATGACATCTCTGAGCGTCGTCCAAATATGGAATTTTTCTTGCTATTCGGATGAAGGTCTGAAGAAAAACGTTGAAAGTGTCATATTTAGCTCTTCTGATGTTAAGTAAATTCTTAGTTGTGGTCGGATTTGAATCTTTCTCAAATTCATTTTTCAGTCTCTCCTTGACTTCTTCCCAAGTAGTAGCATCTTCCATTAATTCCAGAACTGCCAGTCTTGAGTCAGTATCCCAATAAGATAGGAGGTGTTTAAGCCGTTGCTTATCTGTCCAGCCATAACTGAGTCTAAATAACTCATACTCATCCAGGAAGTCATTAACTTGAGGTCCTCTGAAGCAGGGAATTCTCTCATCTGGCCTCTTCGCTCTTGCAATGTCTGACCGTCCTTTGATTGTATCAACTCTCTCGACCGGTTCCCGTATAACCCCAACCAAGGCCTGTTCATTGGTCCCTACAGATGTACTTGGTCTTGCTCGCCCTGCCATCTTGACCATAGACTTTTTTCCAAGTATTACTTTCTCTTTCTGTGACTCTTGTTCTCTTTCTTTTCTGCTCTTCAATCTCTTACTCTTCTCGCAAGAGATACAGGCTCGTTCCTCTCTTCTCTTGTCTGCTCTATCCTCTGAGAGATCTGTACATATAGGGTATAAGCAATAATTGATTGGGTAGTGATCAAGGGCAGTGCAATCCTTCTCAGCCTTCCTATATAATCTTCAATCAATTCTTTCTCATCACCCCTATTCAGTCTTCTGTCATACCCCTTTATAGTACCCCGGATCATAAAATATCGAGTCAAGTCTATAATCTCATAATCAAATTGCATCATTTACAGCCCGGTGTTGATCCTTCTTGGAAGAGAGACCCGTTCCCACTTTCACCACCTTTAACAGATAGCTTATCTCAGTCTGGTCAGTGGTAATTCTCAAGGCAAAATCTCTCATGTGATCCAAGAAAGGCTGCAAAAAATGAAGCTCATCCAGGGTAGAAAAATTTTTATCAGACATATGGAGTATAATTCTTCAGGGAACATGCTAGTGCAGTAGGGTCCACCCTCAAGATGAGCTTCTTGCCAAAAACATAGTTCTGGAGGTCCTTAGGCAATGGAGTACCGCCAACGTCTCCTTCTTGAACTGGAAGTAATTCCTCTGAGTTGTATTGAGGGTACGACTTTCAAATCTTAGCGGCCTCTCCTTCCCCTTAGTATCTGCCTGAATTAGGACTCCTCCCAAGGCAGTTGGCACAGCGTCCGTCTCAATGACGAATGGTCTTTCCTCCGTGGCCTCATAATTTGGTGCTCCCAATACCAAGCCCCCTTCCTTAAACTCTCCCTTCATCCTACCGACCGCCTCTTCCTTGTCTTCACCCCAGACCCATTCTTGATCCTGGCGCACCAACTTCCTTAAATGTTCCGTCTTCATGGCAAAGTCCTTCATGAAGCTCCTCCAAAATTTGCACGTCCCAAGGAAACTCCTCATATCCGTTATCGAGCGGAAGGGCACTGGACACTCAAGAATCTTATCTGTCTTCTTTACGTTAGGCCTCCGCCCACTCTCATTGCAGACAAACCCTAGAATCGTGGCCTCCCTCATACAATGTTTCGACTTGGGGCCGATCGCCGTCAGGTTATGTTCCTCCAATAACCCAAGAACCTGATCGATGTCTTGGACATGCTTCCATACAAAACGCCGCACACCGGGCATCACTTCGTCTTCCTCCTTCTCCTTCGGACCTTTAACCGCCAGGTCATCAATGTAGGGCTGAGTGATATGTGGACTGACCGTCTGGATGGCTCTGATCATATGCCTTTGCACCATCGCCACCGCATTCGTCCAACCTTGAGGCGCCACGTCCATATGAATCAGCCCTCTGGGAGTGTGCATTGCCGTTACAGGCCTGTCTGGCGGGTATACAGGCAATTGGTCGTACCCAGAGTAGAGGTTTATGAGCGAGATTATAGGCCTCCCTGCGCACGAGTCTGACAGCGCATCCGCGTTTGGTAACCCCCCCGCATCCCGCACCGTCACGGCATTTAACCGCTGCAAGTCCTGCACCCACCTTAGCGTCCCATTTTGTTTGATAAAACAAAACCAAGGTGACGCATACGGTCCATTGGAATACTCGGCCACGTGCATCCACATCTTGCCGTCCAGGTAGTCCACCACCTTCTTCTCCTCATCCGGATTTGGGTATCGCGCGCCCCTTAAATTTCATGACTCATGCGGAACGGTGTGGATTCGTATCATCGGAATCTTGTCCACATCCAACCTTCCACGCTCATCGTCATCGAATGCATACGCGCGGTGCCTTTTCTTCATCAGCCCCACCATCAACGCTCTTTCCTGGGGCGACAGGAAGTCGGGCTCCCGGATTATTAGCTTTCCCTCATTCTCGTCGTTGATACGGCCCGGCCCGGCCAACGCATGCTCCCGCATACGCCGTATCAATCCTCGCTCCCGCTCGTAATAGGCTTCCTCATCCTCTGTGACGAGCACGGAAACTGGGCAGCACTTCTTATCTATGGTCTTGTACCGCCTTTGGGAACCCTGCTTAAGCCCTCCCCTAAAAAAGGCCGACTTGTCGTTCGGGCCTGGGCCATCGCNACGCTCATCGTCATCGAATGCATACGCGCGGTGCCTTTTCTTCATCAGCCCCACCATCAACGCTCTTTCCTGGGGCGACAGGAAGTCGGGCTCCCCGATTATCAGTTCTCCCTCATTCTCGTCATTGATACGGCACGGCCTGGCCAACGCATGCTCTCGCATACGCCGTATCAATCCTCGCCCCCACTCGTAATAGGCTTCCTCATCCTCTGTGACGAGCATGGGAACTGGGCGGCACTTCTTATCTATGGTATTGTACCGCCTTTGGGAACCCTGCTTAAGCCCACCCCTAAAAAAAGCCGACTTGTCGCTCGGGCCTGGGCCATCGCAGGGCCTCCCCTCCCTCACGGAAGCCGATACACCAACTCCACCTCCCCCACCTGAGGGTTCTCCAAAACTTGTTCCCTCAATGCCTTAATGGCCTCCGGATCCGCCATGTCGTGAGCCGATACCACCTCCATGGCCTTATTCACATCCGTGAGGCTCAATGTCAGCACCTCAGCCCTATCTTCCTCCTCGGGCACTTCCCAAAGCCGTCTTCACTCGTTTTCTGATTCCTCAAAGGTGAACGAGCCTAGATTGGGCCTATTCCTCCCGCTCCCCGGCCCCGTATTCCGGCAGGTGATAACTTCATAATTCCCACACGCCGGGTCACATAGGAGCAAGATCATTATTCCGTCGTGCTTGTTGAAGATCAACATTTCCGTCCTGCACAGGAACGACCGCCCCAGAAGGATGGGGTGATCGACATCGGGCATAAGGAAAAAGCAAGTCCTGGCTCACACCTTCCCAATCTCTATAATCACAATTGACACTGTGCCCCCATGGTCCGAGCGGTCGATCTCCATGCCTATCATCACCGCCTACTTCTCCCTGATGATGTTCATCTCTGCGCCCGTGTCCACCATCCCAGTACACTTCTGGTTCCTTATCACCAAATCCACCTGCCTGCACGCCACATATTTCGAATCCATCCTTGTCCCTGCCTCAGTCCACTCCACCTCTCTAGGCAGGACCGTACTCAGATGGACATTTGGCACCAGCCTTCGCGACAGTCGTCCCTTCAACTCACCACGGAGCCTTGGCGCCGACGCCAGGATGTCCTTTAGGTTCATCAAGTCATTATGGCTTTCCAGGAGTTTGTTCACCATCCGCTCCACATCAAAGTCTTCCTTCATTCGGACCACGTACTTCTTCCTCTTAGGCACGCTGTCGGGCAGGCTTGGCTCAGCCTCCTCCTGGGCCCCCCTCTTTTCGGCTCTCAGCTCCGCCCGCTGATCCTCCTCTTGTCGGGGCCTCTCATCCTCTTCATCGTCATCCTCTTCCTCTTCCTCCGGAACCTCCACCACCTCCTTCCTACGTCCAAGCTCCGGTTCCTTTCGAGGGGGTGCCTTACTGGGCGCCTGACTGGGCTCTTAACTAGGCCCAACCTTATTTTGGCTCCTGGTCCTAGCCGCCTGCGGCACCCTCCCATGCGACGTGGGGGTCTATAGGTCATACCTGACCTAGGGCCCGTCCCTACAGTTGCCACTCTTGGGAACCCTTGTTCCCCTGGCGAAGGCTCTGGCCCGGAGTCATAAAGGAAGACCTCAGGCAGGTTGGCCTCCCACTTTCGGGCTTCCTCACACAGGGCTTGCAACTTCCGCTGGTATCTCCCCACCTTTTCCAGCAGATCTTCCATCCTTCCCAGAAGGAGTGTGGCCGGCTCTCCTTCGCCTTCCTGCCCCTCATCATCCGATTCGACGACTATTGGCTCCTCTCTTATAGTCCCCGCCTTCGCTGAGTGACCTCCTCGCTATCTCCCACAATCTCCTCAACTTTTATAGCCAACTCTCCTTTCTCCTGCCACATCCTGAACATGGCCAGGGTGGCCGATGGCCCTGCTGCCGCTCGCCTAAGAGCTTCTTGCCTGATTCCTCCCGGGGTCCTAGGGTCGATATGCTCCCCCCACTTATCGTATATATCCCCGTCCATACAAGAGGAAATTAGACCGGCCAACTCATCATCTCGCCGCCGTTGGCAGAACCGTATAGTGTGGCCCACCTCGCTACAATGCCAGCAGGTGGCGTTTCGCCAATCAAAGCGGGGCCTTCCGTACCCTTGGCCCCCTTCTTGGCCACCTCGGCCACCTTGGTTCTGACCCCTCTGACCATTCCAACCACCCCCGCGACCCCCACCATTTCCTCCCCGGCCTCGGTCGCCACCTCCTCGACCCCCTTGACCTCGGCCTCCATTGCCTCGTCCGACTTGTCCTTGGTTTCCTCCCCCGGCCACGCTGACCTGCAAGGCATGTTGGAAGGGAGGTGGTTGGGCCACAAACTGACCCTGAGCCGCAGGGTAGCTCGGGGGATCCATACTTGCCGTTGGGCCCGCATAAGGGACCATTTGCCCGGGCTGAGTTTGACTACCCCCGCACGAGGCGCAGTGATTACAACTGGGCCAGGGTGTAGGCTGACAATGCGGCACCTAATGCCCACAAGCCGGCGGCGGCCCCATACATGACGGCCCGGAAGTCGCTGACGTTGTCATGGCAGCAGGTGGCGGCGCAGCAATTGCTTGCGGGACCTGCCCTTTTTCGGATCCTTGACCCCCCACCTGTAAATTCCGCTGCTTCCTCTAGGCCTTGGTTAGGATCTGGGATCCCGTCTCTTCTCCGCCATAGTCCTCGCGCCTAGCCTCCTCTTCCACTGCCCCCGATGCCCGGCCTTGGGCCACAATCACTCCCCTCTTTTTCACTTCCGCCCCATTATCATACCCCAGCACTGCCAATACGTCCGTGACGATCCTCTTCGCCCCTGGGGTCCCAGATGCGGTGGCGTCCCTTTCCTTTCTCTTGCGCCTTTGCAGCCGCACCTGGTGCTGCTCCACCTGGTCCAGGCTCCCCTCTTCCACCCCTTCATCGATAATGGCCCAGGTGAGTTTCTTATTTCCCCCTCGGTGACCCGTCAGCTCCGAGGCCTCCGAGCCAGTAAGCAGACCCAAAAATATGGCATACTGGGTTTCTTCGGAGATCCCGTGCACCTTCCGCACCTTCCTTTTAAACTCGTGCACAAACGCCCCAATCGTGGAGAAGTCATCCTTGTTCATGGCCTCCAAATTCGCCATGGTTAGCAAGCCATCCCCCAACCTGTACTTTCTCTGCATCATGTCCTTGAACCTCGCCCAACTACCATTGGCGGCATCTACGACATTGCCCACTTCCTGATGGTGGCTATGAAGGACATATCTTACGACTCGCTGGAACTTGACCTCGTCTGACAGCCCCACCAGTGCTTGCTCCGTCAGGTCCAGCCAGTCGGACACCCGTTCTCCCTTGAAGTGGAATGTATCGACCTTCGGGACATTGTTCGGCGCTCTCTCGCGCATATCCAGTGCATCAATGAGGTCGTCGAGCGTTACAAGCTTTCTCCCACCGTCCGCCATCTCCTCTGGCATTTTGATTAGCTGTCTTCGGCTTCAATCCCCCTGTTATAAAAAGCGATAGGACGAAAGGTTCCACTCAGCAGTCCATTCCTTCACGATCCTATCGGACCGACCACCTAAGCACCCGACGCTCTGGACCTGGCAGACATTTTTCTCTCTACTTCCTACCTCCTTTGGGTTCACCTAAGTAAGACCCATTCTCATCACAGAATTCACTCACATACTCGCCTCGTTCATGCCATCAACCAAACCACCAATCAGATCAACATTCATACCCACACAACCATATAGACTACTATACGACCCATCTCATAGTTCTTCTCTTATTTGCTCACGTGCCTAATTCTATCTCATTCTCATATTACCCGGATGTCGTTCCACCAGGGACAACGGTAGGCTTCCGTTATCCCCGGCAATGGCGCCACCTGTCGAGTGCATCGGTCCGGCACCGCACGTGGCAGCGCGGGACCCTCTCGACCGCGTCACGCAGGAGTTGGACCAACCTCGTCACGGACACACAAATGGAGCTTCCTTAGGCCGCTCCGGGCGAGTGCGCCAACCATACCTCTCGCGAGCCCCTACGACAGGATAGGGCCTATGCGAGGCACAACTTACCTCCAACTTACGGGATCTGTCACCTCCCTTCGGTGGGCGTATCCCCGCCGAGCTACCAGTCCACCGTACGAAAGCTACTCGGTTGCAATCGCAGAGGTGGACCAGCCGAGGGCGTTTCTCGTTCGCTGTAGCATGGGGGTACGAGCGGTAATACGTCTATCGGACCTGCACGCGAACCAACCTCTTGGGGGGCTGAGGTCCCAAGCGCGACTCTTCGTCGGTCGACTAGGACGCCTCCCACACACCACGCGCACACCACTTTACGAACACAAAAAAATAAAACACGCACACACACACACACACATCGAACAACGCGACAACACTCCTAGTCCCTTCAGTAGCCGTCCCATAACGTTCTGACGCGGAAATGGAATAGGCGTCGCGCGCGAGACTCAGTATAAAATCGCGCGATCGCAGGACCAACTCATATCGACTCGCAATGCAAACGTACGCAAGCAGTCGCAATGATGGCGTACTATGTCGTGCCCATAATCGTGCGGTCCCCGTTAATCTCGAGGGTCGCATTCGACACTCAAGTGTCGGCTGACACGCGCCTTGAGGGTTAATCTCTCGACGCCCGACCACTGCCGTGTGCGGTTGGAGACCACACCCTCTTCTGCACCCTCTGCAGAGGGGTTGAGTAGATAACTCTAAGCTGTCGTGGCGGTCGAACATCAAGGGGTTTGACTTTGACGACTGCCACGGACTATAACTTTCAACTATGAAAAATGCAAAAAGGAGACTCATTCCAACCCCCATTAGCTGATGGCCTTCTAAAATGGGACGGGGTGGATAAGCCCAAACGACACGCACGCGGAGGAGGTCCGGTATCCTACCTGTAGGCTACCCGGCGTCCGGGATAATGAGGCCCGTACACGGACTCCCAAAGGCTGACCGGGGCTAGTCCTCCGCCCACGTGCCGCTTCACGTTACCAAAACCCCAAGTTTACCGGTCGTGTCACGCTCGTGATCTCTCCGCCTGACCCACAACTTTTTTAGTGCAGGATGCGACGAGTGTCGCGCGCGAATTTAGTATAAGATCGCGAGGGCGCTGGACTTACACACACTATCTCGCTATGCAGTTCTACGCGAGTAACCGCGATGACGGCGCATTGTGTGGTGCCCACACCCAAATGGCCTACTCCGAGCCAAGGGGTCCCGACGCTCAGGCGTTAGCTAAAGCGCGGGCCAATGGGGGTAACCCTTTAGCGCACGCAAAACCGGCCTGAGGGCCTTTCCGTCTTCAGCACCCTGAGGTGTCCCAACGGGTGCGGGGCAAGACGACCCCTAGGGCAGGAGGGAGTTTGGAGCGGTGGTGAGTTGTCTGGTGCATCACCATCAACATGCTGACCCTTCCGCCCGGAACTTTATCGTTCCACCAAGATGAATCACAACAAGGAAAAGAAACAAGAATTGGCGAGGGATACCCCCCCCCCCCTTCTATTCACCCCGGCCTTCGACTGACCCTTAGTACGCGGGCACTTCAGGCCACGCTAGCTCCACACGTAGGTACACATACACTGGCACATATATATATATATATATGCACGAGGGGGATAATTATGTGACGATCACTTCTCACAGTCATAGTGCGTCTCCTCCTCGCCCTACATATATATGCGACGGCAAGGCAACCCAACCAAACCCCAAGTTTTTTAACATACCTGCAATCACATCAAAAGTCAAACGAGAGTCCACGCACTACGCGGAGTCAACTCCAACCAGTTTCTATACTCATACCCCTCGCTTTAGCCATGCAAACCCCAACCTCCAACCAACCAACCTCATTAAATACTCAGTACCTTTGTTAAATGGTCATTCAATAAAAGTCCGGGTGAAACCCTTAACAAACAAAAAGATCACCAGGGCTAAAGCCTTTAAGGTTGAGTATGGGGAGCGAGTAGGAGTAGAGTCGTGAGCCGACGAATCGGCAACCGACCTGTTATCAGTGATAACAGATGATGATCCTTGTAGGATCAAGCTGAACTAGCCCAAGTCCTGAATCGAATGTCCAAGAAAGGCCTGTACCATAAGACAGGTCAATGCCCAAGCTAAATCATCAGCATATGGGGGATGACCCTCCATAGCGCATTCTCACCCAAGTCACCTACCAATTAAATCAGAGTCTACCCCTAAGTCAGTGCACAAGCAAAGGTAGACTAACGGCAGGATCTCCCCTATTCAGGGTGGATCGCCAGAATCGTCATCTGTCAGAATATAACCTAACTTCTCTAAATCAAGAAAATTTCGGCAGCGCTTCCCGTATGAAAAGTGTCTTTTCAGAATTTATATCTTTCCGAATATGATAACAGAAATAGTCTTTGACTTTCCAAAGTTCAATTTTGTCTAACTCCTTGAATTAACAAAAATTTGGACAACACTCCTTTTAGAAAAGGAGACTTTCCAGATTTTTACTAAGCCATACATGAACTTTAGACGGGTTGAACCTTAAAAAGTCAAGAATTGACTAACTCCCCGGATTTGTAGAAATTTCGGCAGCGCTTCCCGTAGAGAAAGTGGCTTACCAAAATTCATACAAAGCCAAGTATAACAAAAGATCCAAAAAAATTGGAGAATCGATCTAAGTAAAAAAACTTGGTTTAGAAAATGGAGGAATTGACCTAACTCCTATCGCTTTAGCACGAGGCGAGTCTCTAAAGCAACTACCTGTCAACCTGACACTCAAACCAAGTAGTAGCCTCACTCAGCGTCATGCAAGCCAAACCATAAAGGTAAGTACTCTCGCCACCCCAAATCAACCTTTGCAAACAATAGTTCGTAATCTTTGGATGCTTTATTCCCTTATACCTAGCTTACATAAGGCATAAAGTCAAGTCGTCCAATCTTATGGAACTTGCCTGACTCAGCCATTGAGTATACAAAAAAAGGTGACACAACTACTTCTCTCTTCCTCTTGGGAATATGATTAGGCCGTTCATCTTAGAACACGGCTTAGTTGCCCAGAAAGGTTTAATATCCAACTTATATATACCTCTCTGAGCTTAGCGTTCAAAAGATGGGCATAGGACCGAGCCGTTCATCTTAAAACAAGGCCCGGCCTGCCCAGGGTTACCTTCAACTATACTCTTAATTATACTCTCTTCATTTTATGATAAGCTATAGTCAGGCCGTCCAATCTTATGGAACCCATGCCTGGCTAGCCTGTTTATAAATAGAATAATATAACGTATAGCCGAATTTTAACCTTTTGTGTTCCAGCATGTGCGAGGCATTGGGCTAGTCCGTCCAATTTTGTGGAACTGCTCTGGTCCTCTGCCAGGTTCATTTCTCTCTGACCCAACTGTGTACAGCGTGAGTCCAAGGTCGTCCAATCTTATGGACATGCCCTGCCCTCAGCAAGGATTATCCCCTCAGAATAAAACAAAAGGGGGGCTGAGCCGTCCAATCTTATGGACTTGCTCAGACCTCCTTGATCAGAAACAAAAGAAACAGAACAAACCCCAATCAAACCTGACAACCAAACCCTCTAATCTTATGGTACAGGTTTGGCCCCTGAAAAGTCAGCCACAGTCAAGCCCTCACAATTCAGAGCAATCAGACCGTCCAAGCTTATGGAACTGGTCTGACTCTCCATGCAATTCAAAAATAAAACACAGCGGTCAGGCCGTCCAATCTTATGGAACTGGTCTGACCCCATAGAACCCATTCACGCTTAGGCAAAACCACCTTTCACCCACCCTTCCCCCAGATGCGATCCCTTGTGTTCACAATCTGCCTTCAGGCAATCAACAAAAACTGAAACTGAGATTGCGCACACATTCTTTTACTTAATTTGAGTTATGTCCTGCCAGTCAACCCAAAGCCAAAATAGGGGCACATACAGTATACTCAATCAACCATAGCAAGACGTACAAGTAGGGGTTATATCAGGGTATATACAGGGGAAGCAATGGTTACCTTTCAATTCCCTGTCTCCAGAGCCTCGCCTAGGCTCCGGCAGAGCTCCCGCAATCGGTGGGGCGAACCTCCCACGGAGGCCTTGGCGCGGAGCACGGGTTGCAATCCCGCATGCCGCCTTCCTTTCAGAACTAAGGGACTAGACTTAGAGTAAGAATGGCAGGGGTAGGTAGTTTTGAGACTCTCAGATACAAGAATGGTGCACTCAAACTTGCGAGAGAGGGCCTTCGATATCTTCCTTCGCCTGAGGGCCCCGCAATGGCGGCCAACTGACAGCTTGGTCAAAGACTGCAGACAGTCGACGTAACCCCTCCTAACGAGCCTCCAAACTTGCTTCACGACCTCCTGCTTATCCCGACACTTCTCCTTTGCCCACACGCAGCCACTCAACAGCTAAAATCAGGCAAACAACGGCAGCAATAGCACGCAGTGACTAGCAACAGCAGTCCTTACGCAGCGGCAGTACCCGCAATAGCAACCCGCACGTCGCAGCTTGTGCCTCAGTCCTCAGACGCAGCTGTCGTGCACCGCGACGGTCACCAGCAACTGCAATAATCACCCT